CGACATGTATTTGTTTTCAGAATAGAGCTTGTTGATAGACTGCCTTACAAGGTTCTTTTGAAAGTTGTCCAAGTGTTTTAATTTGTGTGATTTTGACACGACCCCTACCTGCTTCGCATCACCCTCACAATGTTTGTGTTCCAGAACATTTGTCAGTACCCTTGCTGATACTCCTAAAGCTTTTGCTGCCCGCTTACGGAATTTATTAATGGCATAAAATGGTTTGCCCCTTTCGGCTTCAGCACGGAAAAAATCGTACACTTTAATCATCAACTGTTTCACGTCAGCATTCAACTTCATTTTTCATCAGGCATGTGTACCCCGTGCACGACGAGATAGTGCCTGTTCCGTTTCTGCGGTTTCACCCCGCCGCAACAGATAACAACTTTTGCGTTTTCAATGATGATAGTTTCTTAAACAACTTTTTTGGTGGGGTCCGGAACATTTTCAAATATCAGAAAGCTGTTGGGTATTATGATGATAAACGAGTACTATTTATATTTATGTGGCAATTTTGTACAATGATCAAATTTGCAATTCATCGGTCCGTTTCTGACTCAAACGGACTTGTGTTGTATCTGTGACTTAGGACCCGTACATCCAGGTATTTGTGCCACCCGACTGCTACAGCAACAGAACATTGTCCGGCCTTCCTCGGGTTTTGTGCCAGGTTTTCCTCGGGTGGTGTGCCAGGAGCTCCTCGGGTGTTGTGCCAGGTGTTCTTTAGTGTTGTGCAGGTGTTCCTCGGGTGTTGTGCCAGGTGTTCCTCGGGTGATGTGTCAGGTGTTCCTCGGGTGGTGTGTCAGGTGTTCCTCGGGTGGTGTGTCAGGTGTTCCTCGGGTGGTGTGACAGGTCTTCCTCGGGTGGTGTGTCAGGTGTTCCTCGGGTGGTGTGTCAGGTGTTCATTGGGTGGTGTGTCAGGTGTTCATTGGGTGGTGTGCTAGCTGTTCCTCGGGTGATGTGCCAGCTGTCCCTCGGGTGGTGTGCTAGGTGTTCCTTGGGTGATGTGCTAGCTGTTCCTCGGGTGATGTGCAAGGTGTTCCTCGGGTGGTGTGCTAGGTGTTCCTTGGGTGGTGTGCTAGCTGTTCCTCGGGTGATGTGCCAGGTGTCCCTCGGGTGGTGTGCTAGGTGTTCATTGGGTGATGTGCTAGCTGTTCCTCGGGTGATGTGCAAGGTGTTCCTCGGGTGTTGTGTGAGGTCTTCCTCGGGTGGTGTGCTAGCTGTTCCTCGGGTGATGTGCAAGGTGTTCCTCGGGTGGTGTGCTAGGTGTTCCTCGGGTGGTGTGCTAGCTGTTCCTCGGGTGATGTGCAAGGTGTTCCTCGGGTGTTGTGTGAGGTCTTCCTCGGGTTGTGTGTCAGGGGTTCCTCGGGTTATGTGTCAGGTGTTCCTCGGGTGGTGTTTCAGGTGTTCCTCGGGTGTTGTGTGTACAGACAATCAGCAATCGGCTGCATGAGTACGGACAGGAGGCGTTGAGACAACGTGCTGGTGTCTGATTAGACTATCAACAAATCGCTGAAATGGACATATTTTGCAGAAAAAAGGTCATAGTAAAAAAATTAAAGTATAACGAAAAGGAGCCCTGAGACTTTCTTCATTTTCAGAGACCCTGAAGCTGTTGAAATCTGGACTTGCCACATTTTCTAGACTTGCGTGGGCTTTCTTGGATATATTTGCTTCAGGGTCTGTATAACAGACTAGTGTCTGACGTCAGACACGACTTTTACCTGTTCAGTGTGTGCTGCCGTCATAAACTCTAATCTGACACAGAGACGAAGGGTGTTACTTTGTCACGATTCATGTTCTTGTACAAAATACAAGATAAATAGCATCAAGCAATGGTTGCCATGCAATGTCGCTGGAAGATTCATCTACAACCGCATCTGTAATCTTACAGAAGACATTTCAGGTGATTGTTTGACTTGCCTTCACGTGTGTTTGTGACAGATGCCCGCACACAGCACACATCTCCCTTTCCCGGTGTTCTAGTATCCTTGGGATCATCACTATTTGATAGCGATTCACAAACATACGATTATGGTTTAGTCAGCGTTGCAGGAAGAACGCGACTTTGAACGCAGATTACAAAGGGTTATTTACACAGTGGACGATGCTGTTTTGAAAACAAAACTGTCAGAGTTGTGACATTATGAAAGAAAACAGACTTATAACAGCAATGATGAAGGAAATATTATTATTCCTGACAACGTGTCACTGTGCATTTCAATGGCATTCCCAACCCACTGGGAAGTAGTGAGTGAGTGAGACGAGTTTTACGCCGCTTTTAGCAATATTCCAGCAATATTACAACAGGGGACACCAGAAATTAGCTTCACACATTGTACCCATGTGGGGAATCGAACCCAGGTCTTCGGCGTGACGAGCGAACGCTTTAACCACTAGGCTACCCCACCGCCCCGTGGCGATATTGACAAAGGGACAATGCGACAAATGGCCAAAATGTCGTGTTGTCGCATTTTCGCGCTTTGGTTAATTTTAACACTATTTGTCGACAATGCGACGATGTCCCTTCTAGGATTCCATACTCTCACCAACATTACATTAGCATTACCATCTGGACACAACTACGTACCCTCTTTCGATTTGCGAATAAAAGCACATTTGGAACTACATCACTGACTGGGTTAAGGCGTTATCACATGTTAGATCAACTGTGTGTGGCAGGACTAAAGCCCTCGAGAGTCTCAACACCAACAAGAACCACTAGACTGTTCGTGCCCTCGAGAGTCTCAACACCAACGAGAACCACTAGACTGTACGTGCCCTCGAGAGTCTCAACACCAACGAGAACCACTAGACTGTACGTGCCCTCGAGCGTCTCAACACCAACAAGAACCACTAGACTGTACGTGCCCTCGAGAGTCTCAACACCAACAAGAACCACTAGACTGTTCGTGCCCTCGAGAGTCTCAACACCAACGAGAACCACTAGACTGTACGTGCCCTCGAGAGTCTCAACACCAACGAGAACCACTAGACTGTACGTGCCCTCGAGAGTCTCAACACCAACAAGAACCACTAGACTGTTCGTGCCCTCGAGAGTCTCAACACCAACGAGAACCACTAGACTGTACGTGCCCTCGAGAGTCTCAACACCAACGAGAACCACTAGACTGTACGTGCCCCTCGAGAGTCTCAACACCAACAAGAACCACTAGACTGTACGTGCCCTCGAGAGTCTCAACACCAACAAGAACCACTAGACTGTACGTGCCCTCGAGAGTCTCAACACCAACAAGAACCTCTAGACTGTACGTGCCCTCGAGAGTCTCAACACCAACAAGAACCACTAGACTGTACGTGCCCTCGAGAGTCTCAACACCAACAAGAACCACTAGACTGTACGTGCCCTCGAGAGTCTCAACACCAACAAGAACCACTAGACTGTACGTGCCCTCGAGAGTCTCAACACCAACAAGAACCACTAGACTGTTCGTGTCATCTGGCTATGGCTGTTATGGTCACGGTGACCTTTTTATCAATATCGCGAAAACAATGTCATGTTTACTTTCATGACAGCTGTGCCACGTGAATTAATTGAGTTGCATGAGTCAGTGTCACGTTTGCGGTTGTGAGAATTCAGAAAAAGACGACTTCCACACCAATACAATGAACCTGCTATTAATGGGCTGTACCAGATGGTACAATACCATGCAATATTCGAATGAAATTTAAGGCTGACAAAAGCCTCATCCGGACGGTGCGAATGTTTTCGATTAATCATCATGTGCGTGATATTCGAGGAAGAATTATAATTAACAGTTATTGTTCAGATATATTTACTTGATATAACAGCTTCAGCTGTTGGAACAATTGGGTCCGTGTTAAAGATAAATGTAAATGTATATTCCTGTGGGTAAAGATGAACCCCATGGAATTTGTAATCACGTCAAAAATTGAACATTATGCAATATAATATTGATGTGTAAATAATACATTAAACTAAACTAATGTTCATTTGCTAGATTATCGCTACACGCGGCACAGATGGCCATATACAAACGAACGGATTGCTAGATACAAATCTCGTACGATAATTATGGTCCCATTTTATTCATAGCAATAATACGCGTTCATTCTTATTTTAAAACTTTACTTTGTCAACACAGCTCCAGGAAATGAGATTATTACAAAAACTGTAATTATTTATAAAGTTTATCTCCTCTACTTCAATCTGTGGAAGAACCATTAACACTGAATTCTCCCACAATTCTTCAACAATCACTGCACCTGTGAGACAAGACATTACATGTCTGTAATAGCCGACACAGCTGCTGCTTACCACGCTGACTGACGATTGACTAAAATGGAGATATTGCATTGTGCATTGTGGCCCATGTAGATGCTGGATACAAGTTCTTGTATGTTGATGTTGGGGCAGAGGATCTTGTATGTTGACGTTGGGGCAGAGGGTGGTGCTTCAGATGGAGGGACATGGAAAAACAGTACTTTGCACAAAGCTGTCGAGGACAACCGAACCGGACTGCCTGGACCAGCTCCAATCCCTAACGATGACAAGCCTGTGTTACATCATTTCGATATCCATAATTGGGTCTTTGCAGTCACATTCAGCCAATCCTTCTGCTTCTTGTCGAACAGCTGGCGGGTGCTGCTTAAAAAATTCGGCAAGCTTCATGGTTCCCTCATCCGTCCATTTGTAGTCCGGCATTTCTTTCTTGCTAACTCCTGTTTCTGCTGTGCTTGGGGCTCTTCTTGGGGCTCTCCTTGAGGTGCAGAAATATCAGCACTTAAGTGGGAGGGGGGAGAAACATCCCGCTCACTCTCTGCAACCTCTGTCTCTATCTCTCTGGGGGCGGTGGGGTAGCCTAGCCTAGTGGTTAAAGCGTTGGCTCGTCACGCCGAAGACCCGGGTTCGAATCCTCACATGGGCACAATGTGTGAAGCCCATTTCTGGTGTCCCCCGCCGTGATGTTGCTGGAATATTGCTAAAAGCGGCGTAAAACCAAACTCAGTCAGTCAGTCTATCTCTCTGTCTCTGTTTCTTGTCCGGTCTCTTCTTCTAGTCTTCTATCCACTGCTGGTCCTGCTCTTTCTCTGGTTGGCTTCTTCTTCTTCTTCTTCTTCTTCTTCTTCTTCTTCTAGGGAGGCATCTTGTTGACTATTCGTTGTCGAGTTGAGGAATGTGGGGACTGGCCATCACAGGGGCTCGAATCACTGTTTGGACAATAATTTTAAAAATAAAAATCTAGATTTAGTTCACGTCGTCATGGCACGACGAGTTCCCGCATAGTTTTTGTCACGTAATTGATACGCATTGGGCACGTCTACTTCACGCATTGTTGGCGCACGAATCAGCGACGGCCGCGCACTCGGCAGTGTGCATATAGAAGCGTGCCCATCGCCAGCACAGGGAGGGGTTCGAGTCACTGTTTGGACAATAATTTGTAAAAATAAAAATGTAGATCTTTTGCAACCGTATATTGTTATTATATGTTATGAGTAACTTATATTTCAAATTTGAACGAAATCGGTGAAAAATTGAATTTTTAGAAAATTCTACCGCTACACTCATTAAATAAAATACACAAGGGGTGACACTCGCGATGCTAAAAGACTGATCGAAAACGGCACAGCCCGACTATGTTAACGTGCGTTAAATCATACCTTACGTCTTTCACAAAACAATGAGTTGAGCTTGTAGATTATTATTTTCGCCTTCTGCTCATCGTATTCAGTTTGTCCAACTGCATTTCATATTTGACCACTGACCCTCGCATTAGCTCTACCCTCCGTTTTGAACAAACGTCTGGCCGCCTTTCGGTAAACATCGACACTGTCCGAAAATCTCGGAATGACTCGGAACACAAAAAGGCTCTCATTAGTCTATTTCCACGTGTGTGGGGAAAACAACAAACAAACATGGCAGACAGGACAGTGAGAGGGGCCATCGATGGCCATAATCTGTTGATTTGGGGCCAAGCGGTCACAGGCAAGACCACCTTACTGCGCCAGATCAGAGAGGAATTATCGAGGAAAGGAAAACGATGTTGCCTAGATTAACTGCAACAGTTTACTGTTTGGCATCTCTTCGTCTCAACTCCATCGTCTTCAGAAAATCCAGAACAAAGCTGCACGCATCAGCACTCTCACCAGTACTCGCTGTCACATCTCTCCCATTCTAAACTCTCTACACTGGCTCCGTATTCGTGAAAGGATTGATTTCAAGATTCTCTGCCTCACCTACCAGTCTTTCTACAACTCAGGACCTTCCTACCTTCAAGACCTTCTGACACATTACTCTCCTGAATGAACTCTGCGCTCATCACAACAACTGTTACTTGCTGTCCCGAGCTACAATCTCAAATCATTTGGCTCAAGAACCTTTTCATATGCAGCAGCTTCTCTGTGGAACTCTCTCCCTATCGAGTTAAAATCATCTCCTTCCCTAAGTACATTCAAAACACGACTAAAGACTCATCTATTTCTCCGCTAAAAGTGACTTCCAATCATCCGTACCTGCCAACTGTATATAGTTTTAACTTGAGCTCAGGAAGCGCTTTGAGCATATCCCTGTGACGTGGAAAGGCGCTATATAAATGGCCTATTATTATTATTATTATAAACAAGCGAGGACAATCGGCGACAACTGGGCTGGCAGCCCACATGTATTTCTCTGGCTTTAGTCGTCCCCAAACTCCGCTTAATGAACATCTTTGTAAATTATGTGACAATAATGTTGTTGAGGATGAGATACAGTTATTTGCTGAATGTTCTGTCTACTAGATTTACACTGTAAACTATGGAAGTTTGCTTCCCACTTAACTCTCTGCGCGGGTGATCCCCTTCAGACCGTGTTCTTCATATGGATAGTAGGTTTGTAAGACACCATAGCCGGTATACTTTCTCAAGTGTTCCAGCGGAGACGTTTCTGTCTACCGTTCGTAGCAGCTTTGTACATAGTACTATTAATATATTGATGTTTTTCATTCATCCACGTGTGTTCCTATGCATATAACCCATGAAGAATTTATCTTCAGTAACCCATGATGGGGAGGTGGGGTAGCCTAGTGGTTAAAGCGTTGGCTCGTCACGCCGAAGACCCGGGTTCGAAGCCCATTTCTGGTGTCCCTCGCCGTGATGTTGCTGGAATATTGCTAAAAGCGGCATAAAACCAAACTCAGTCAGCCAGTCAGTAACCCATGCTTGTCGTAAGCGGTGACTAACGGGATCGGGTGGTCAGGCTCGCTGACTTGGTTGACATCGTAGCTGGAATTCTGCTGAGTGCGGCGTAAATCAGCAACCAACCAAATCTTATGCATGTATAACTACGACTGTCCACGAATTACATGTATAATCTCTCAGCTGTGATCACCTTTACTGTCTGTTGATGTGCAAGTGGTGTCTTGAAGGTTATATTGGCCATTAGGCCTGACGTTGAATACTCATACAGCATTTTTTACTGTCCCTTTTTTACCGATTTACAAGGTGTGACATTATAATAATTTTTTTTATCATTCTCACTATTATTTTATAAACGTAAAGTAATGTCTCACGTGACCTGACAGAAAGTACAGAAACACAACCACTAGGCCACGCCCATCTTGGATTTTGTATGAAAGCTGCTATAAACCATGTTCAAGTGGACGATGTTTACTGTTTTGTTAAAGGTCACATGCAACCAAAAAATCAAACATAATTAAAACACAATTATCACTTCTTCATGACATATAATATGCATTGCTGATTATGAAAAAACAAATAAACAAAATTATAAGCGTATAATCGCAAATCAAAAGTGCAATATTTTGTACTTGGGTTTACCTCCCTCGAAACGAAGCAGGCGGGATACCGAACCCAGTCAGAGCGGGTGGGTGTGCACTCAAGTGTAACGGCTGGTTCATTAGCAGATGCTGCCTTCACGGCTTATTGTGTGTGTATATATAGAGATGTTGGGTTTTGTAATTACATGATTAGTTTTTGTGTATAACATTTTGCAATCAACAGACATGATAACATGTCATGTGTTCAAGTATCACACCTGCCTGTCTGTGTAATTACATAATGTGACAGAGACCGAACTCGGGCCATGAATCAATGCGTTTTGTTTACGGTGTATAGCCTGATTGGTGTTAAGTTCAAATTGCATGTGGTCAGTGATCGCAGTTGTGTACTGAATATTGTCATTAGCAGACAGGCAGGCAGACACACGGGTGTCAATAAAACAAGACATTGAGTTTTGTCTGTGACAACGACATATCTATATCACAGTTCGAAATTGTGTCAACGCTAAATAATGACATTGCTTTTAAGTATCGAACTGAGAAAGTGACTCGGTAAGAAGAACGTGTGGTGAAATAGACAAATGAAATTATATAAACAGTTTATTTACTGTCATAACATATAAAAAGCTCGCGCCTGTGAGATATCAACAAAACATTATGAAAATAGCTCACACCAAAGCCTTCACCGAGTTTTCACCAGACAGCCCGCTTCCAAGTTGCGTGAACCTATTTCACTGCGCACATGCTATGAGCGCAGCCCAGCTGTTGAAACCCGTTTTCCCCAGAAAAGTCTGGGGAAATTTAGTGAAACGTTTGAACTCCGATTTCGCGCGGTTTTTTTCATCGCGTTATTTTTTAACTTTATAACTTGAATTTGCATTTTTGATGATTTGTTTCGGTAAGTCCATACCGAAATGTATCAGAATCTGCAAAGTTGTGTTTTACGTTGCATGTGACCTTTAAATAACCAATATGTCGCAACAAGCAACACGGAATAGAAGGGTGAAAAGACTGACTGAGTTTTGTTTTACGCCGCTTTGAGCAATATTCCAGCAATATCACGGCGGGGGACACAAGAAATGGGCTTCACTAATTGTACCCATGTGGGGATTCGAACCCGGGTCTTCGGCGTGACGAGCCAACGCTTTAACTACTATACTAACCCACCGCCCCGAAGGGTGAAAAGAGACGCTATAGACATGTCGTAATCCTGCGAAGTGACAACCGAAAGTCCTTTCACTGTGAAGGGCGTCATACAAGGGGGGCCCTATAGGTCCCATTGTATCTGCATCAGACATGGAGAAACCTTCACCGAACATTAAGACAGTTTTAGATCTTTTTCATGTGAATGAACATTTCTAGATTTTATTAAAGAACCACTAAACTTTGTTTTTTGTTACTCTTTTAACCATTACATATGAAAGATTTGTGGTTAGTTATATGCGGAACACCAAATTTATTCTTTAAAAACTTGTGGTTAATTAATACCGAGCGATTAAAAGTGGCCAAAAAGTCGCCTGCTTCCCTCTCGCCCACCAACGAAACCACAGACAGGTTACGTAACTCTGTCGCCAGAGCACTGCAGTGACGTCATATGAGGAACGATTTTCAGTTCGTTGTATAGAAAGTGTGTAGCACGCTCATCATTTTGATGATTTCTCGACATCAACGACGACATGCCGAATCGTTGCTTTGTCGTCAATTGCTCCGAGGGGGTCGGGTGATGGTGTCCCCATGCACAGATTTCCACAGGACCCCGCAGTTCGTGCTAAATGGGTTATGTTTGTGAGTGCGAAGCGAGCGTTGTGGAAGCCTGAAACGATATCTTACTTGTGTTCAGATCCCTTCACGGAAGTTAAAGAATCAAAACTACTTACTAGTTATAGTAAAATATGTATATGATTGATGACCATAAAGATTTTCCATAACACAACTTGTAACATAACGATTTCTTCCTCGGAAGTGAGGTTGTGGTCGAAGTAACAATAATATTGTAAGTAGTATTATATTGATTCCACCTCGCTGCCAGGAGAGAAATTGTTATGTTATACGCTATATCATGCAAAATCCTATTGGCCATCAATAAAATACATATTTTACTACCAGTAGAAAGTAGTTTGATTTTGTAACCGGTGAAAACAAACCTAAATAGCATTTATCCACAGACTGGCGGATGTTCCCGACAGGGCGCCGCCATTTTTGAAAATCGTAAAGTCTGTTAGAATTAATGAGATTATGGTTTGTGTTCATCAAGTTAGAAAATCAAAACTACTTTCTACTCGTAGTTAAATATGTATTTGAATCATAACCAAAAGCATTTTGCATGACACAACTTATAACATAACGATTTCTTCCAC